AAAAAAAAAAAAAACGGGGTAAAAAAGTTCAAAAGAAAAAAAAAAAGAACAGGAGAATGTTGGTTTGAGGTAATAAAGCGCATGTTACTTTTTGAAATTCTTTTCTTCCGCAAATTTTTTTTTTTTAAATACCAATTTTAATTTCTCTTAATAATTTTTTCGTTAAATAAAAGTAAAAAAATATAAAAAAGACATTTTTTTTTTTCCCGAATTATTATGGGAAATGGAACAATAAGATAAGATAAAACCATAAAATAATATGAGAATCTTATCAATTCTCTTTTCTCTCTTAAACTTTGTATTCATTGATGTGTAAATTGAAAATGATTAGGATTTCAATCCATCAAGCATTAAACATGATAAAGTGTGAAGTGATATAATTTAGTATTACTACATTAGGCAAGTGTAATTGTTGGATAATTATATTTTTTTATTAAAACACATATGTATATATTGTTTAACGTTTAATATTTCACATGATCAATTTTTTAAAAGTATTAAAGATTAACTCGTTTAATTATTGGACGGTCGGATAATATTTCGGATAAACTTTGGCTTATGAAATTTATACTTACAATTCACGTAATTTTGAACATAAATGCATGAATAAGTTATTTCCTTTTTCCTTTTCAAACTAAAGATTTGTTGGTCAGCTTTAAAACTTTGCTGATGTCCACTGAAAGCTAAAGCCTAGAGATATGGTATAATTATAGTTATTAAATAAATAAAACAGCCGTTAGCGGTTGGCCCCTAACTCTATAATCATTGTTTGTGTTATATTATTATTTGTTTTCAGTGATGTTTACTTATTAGTGTCTGGGGTAGTTTAAGATGTACCAATAGTTTTTATATCTGAATATTTAGTGAACCTAGATTTTGGTGTATATTTATTTTTTATTAATGAATTTATAGTGGATGCACATTTGATGTATATTTATTCTTTAGTTTGTCAGGTTTGATTCACCGAATTGTGATATTGCCAAATCTAAATTGTTAATTTGGTAATATAAATATTAATGTGTAATGATATTTATTAGAATCGGGAGATGAGAGTGAGATCCAACTAGGTGAAAGCCACTACAAGAGTGTGAGTCTAGGTGTACATTTGTGAAATTTCATCCCAAAACCAATTGCTGATGAAAAAGGTATCCCACTAGGCTTATATTCTAGGCTCATTTACCCTGTAAAATCAATGTGAGACAATTCAACAAGTGATATTCCAACACGCCCCTCACTTGTGAGTCTTTCGTAAGCCCAAAGCCTAGAGCAGACCGAGTAGAGAGAGTCATTGCATGTCCTAAGAGTGCGGTCCCACCAGGTGAAGCTCACCATAAGAGGGTGAACGTAAGTGCACCATAGTGAAGTTCCATCCCAAAACCAACTGGTAATTGGATGAGTAGTCAACTAGGCTTATATACTAGCTCATTTACCTTGTAGAATCAATGTGAGACAACTCACAAGTGATATTTCAACCAACAATACTCGTCAAGTCAAATGTAATTCCCATAACTCAATCTGTAAACCGTGCAGCATAATTCCATATTACATTCTCGTCTAACAAAAATGAATGAAGAAAGAAAATTATATCAGTTTTTTCAATTTGATTACCTAAGTTCGTTCGCAGGTCAACATCACTATCCTCAGCAAAGGACAAATAGGATAGATTCTGCTTCAGGGAAAGTTACTGCCGAAGCAGCACTGCTTTGCCACTTAAAAACATTCTTGGAAAATATTTTTAACTTAGAGCTTAAAAATGATGAATAAAGAAATGAAACTCTAACATGTAATTTTTGAAATAGCAAACTGAACATATATTTAAAATTTCTTATTATCACCAATTAACTGAAAATTTAAGAAAAGAAAAAACACCTAGCACAACCATGAACCAACCATGGGGACTGATAACGAACTTAAAATCAGATTTTTATTTTCATCAAAAAGATTATTATGAGTCAATCAATACTCCTTTTTGCTAGGTGAAATTCATTGTTAAGCATTACAAGAAAAAAGAAAAATAGGAAGGTACAAAATCGCATACTCTACACAGCCGTCTTTTACAAGCTCTGTTCCGCATATTTGCTCGTCTCCTCTGCAAGTTTAGACCACTCGCTTGCAATTTTCTCACTATATGCAACCTACAAAGACCGTGACAAAAAGCCAATGAATACAAGTGTTCCAAATTCAACAGTTTGCGTAGTTTGCATTCTCCACAAACTGTATGCAAACATCAAATGGAAAAAAATAGTGTTGATGAGTAAGAAAGACAGCAGTTGGAAGCCTTGCTATGTAACACAGACGAGTGAAAAAAAAAAAAAAATATAATATCGGCTATTCAATTGACATTTATGATGTTTTAGAATCCCTTCACAAACATTTAGTGCCACTGTTCCTTGTTAGGACGTCCGAAATATATCCTCCTTACTAGTATTTTTCTTCATTCTTTACTAATATATTCTTATGTAATACACATTTTCTAACAGTACTCATTAAATAAGGACAACAGCAGAATATATTTCACATTTTCAAAGTCTCCAGCAAATTTCTTGATCTAAGTGAAACACCAAACTGGGCTACATATCTGGGACAGAGGGCCAAATGTAATTGACAGTTTGACTTGGTCTTTTGGAATCTGGTGCCAATTGGTACGGGTCTTGATATAGTTTAAATTATTAGTGTAGGATTCTAAATAATTTAAAACATAACTAGCATTCGACTTCGAGTCATTCCTTTTATCGCCTAGGCCATCAGGCCCGGGACATCATTTGTAGACTTTGCACTGCTTATCAAATTACCAACCATGATTTCTTGCAGTGGCCCCCATAATTGGAAATGAAGGAATAGGAAAATGAGAGACATCAAGTTGTACCAGCAGTTATCCATTCGTCATAGTAAACGTACCTGATTAACAACGAATCCTTTTAACATGTTAACAAAGTCCGCCTGCCTTTCTGTATCTAACCGCTGGATTTCACTCCTGTTATTTTCCTGCAACCAGACCATGAGCATTCTCATCAATAGCACTAGACAAATCAGGTTACCACAACATAATGATAGAAAAAAGTATCTAATAGCCATCCACATATTTCTAGGGTATAGAACATGAAAAGAAGCAGTATCTCGAATATTGGTGGAGATGAATGAGCCTACGGCTAAGGTTATAAAGGGAACAGACGTTGCTGGTAACTTATCAGTTCAAGAGCAGTTTGCATATTAGATAAAACAATTTTTTCTAAAATGGTCGGATAAATTCAGATGAATTTCAACCAGCGACTGGTAATTCCACATTAAAAATGAGAGTGGAGAAACTGAAGCATCCAGACTAGGTAATTGAACAGAACGGTTTTGAACTACAACCATCATGCACCAAAACCAGAATAATGATGCAGAACTATTAAATTATTTAGTAAAAGTTGAATTCCAATGATAACAATCAATTATGGAAAATAAGGGAAAAATGCAAGTTTTCAAAGTAATCTCTATCCAACAAATAATAGTATTAATAAAGTTTTTATATACTATGTGACCAGGGATCCATAACAATATAACATATATCCAGTATTACTTGTTGGTAATGGTTTATGCCAAGGTCGGAGGGTCCAATAGCATGCTCCTGAATAACGTTCAGGAACACCAGAGTTTACTATGCTCTTTTCCATCTGAAAGCAATAATATTGAATTTGTTGTTTCACTTCACCTTCAATAGTTTAGATGTTGAGCTATATCATATTATTTTAATGCCATATGTTTCATACACAAGGTAGAAACATCGTAACCAAAGCAAATAGATATCTCAATAGGCATCTTAGGGTAATGATCAGTGTCTTTCAAAGAATTCATGAATGATTTTTTCTGCCACAAAGCACTCTCAATAAATACCATCAAGCAACATTAATTTCTCAAAGTTGCTCAAGTAATCATCAATTTTCATTCACGTGGATACATGGCTTACACTCGTGACCAATCCCAACCAGCAGCTCCCCAAGTAACTTCAAAGCATATTTTGCAACAAAGAAATGCCAGTACTCACAATAACCTTACCAGCCCATCCACTGAACAACATTGAAAATCCTTTGCTAATAAAACTTTTATTATGACTGAAAAATATCTTGACAGGAACTGAGGATGGAAAATGAAACCAAAATAAATTTTTTGACAGCTTTGGTTTACACATGCTGGAGCTCTCACCAAACATCAAGCATAGAATAAAAAGTATCTCAAGTCTCTGACTGCAGTCCAAGTCCAAACCTTGAGTGTAAGTAACCACATTCAAAATCGGTCACAGGATTATAAAACATATAGAGAAAAAATTCACATTATAATGTTCCAACCAAATGTTCACATATGTATTAACAATGTAACCAACATCCAACATTTTCTGCCAGCAAAAGGCAAAAGAAAGAAAAAATTGTAGTTAGATTGCTTAAGGAGATGGAAGCTACAAACAATTTTATGAGGACAAATTATGCTTTTGAAAAGATCAATGAGAAGAGTGAAAATTTTAAGAAACAAATCAAGGACCCTCAGTTAAAGTATATTAATTGCAAGAATAGATAAATAATCACAGTGAAACAATTTAAAAGAATTATAGTAGTAATATTAATACGTTAATTGCAAAGACAAGTTATTGGCCGTGCACCAATCTTTTCACAAACCAAGATTACTTCTACATAAAACCAGGATAGTAACATATATCGATCAACTAAATCTGAAAATTGTTGGTGAAAAACAAGCCAGTCATAAAAACTTAGGAAGGACAACCAAAGAGAAGAGTATGTTCAGAGCGCCAACACAACTACACAAGTAGTGATTCAACTTAAGCAATCTGAAAATTATTAAGAGTGGTCTGCAGCCTATACCCTGTGGGAAATAGGCTGATAGTTTATACCTTAATCCTTTCGTATTCTTTAATCGCACAACATTTAGCATCTTCCGTGACCCTAATCGCATCTTTTAGCTCTTCATATTTGCGGATCCTTGACTTATCACCACCAAAGATTTTGGATGATGCAGAATCAAGTTTCTCAGCTCTTGAATGCAAAGAAGACAATTCAGATATAAGAGTTTGAACAGTCAATAAGGCACTAGATCGATCAGAAAATGCACTGTGTACAGCTAGCATCATCCCCATATATTCGTGCAGCGTGTCCTGCAGTACATGCAGATGAAATAGTAAAGTCACAAACATGAACCCAGAAAATTAATTAATGACGGATTGATTAGACCATATCCATATAGAATATTGAAAGACACGAAATAAAAAATCCCTATTATTACTTATTACCGATACAAATATCTACATAAATTTTATGCTCCACCACATAAACTCAGTTCCAATTTCATTTCGAAAGTCGAAAACAGAATCTTTTGAGAAATAAATAGGTTGGGTCACAAAAAATAAAGAAACAGAAAAGGAAGTAGATAGAATAGTAGTAGTGTGGAGTTTGGAAAGCAGTTCATTCTATTTGTGGGATGAGAACCTTGATAATGGATGATTGTAAAAAAATCCAATATTAGGGAGGGAAAGTATATTCTCAGTGATACCCAAGAGTAAAGTGGTGAAAAAAGTGGCAAAAAAAATTGGGTGGAAGAATGAGTTGTTTTTGTGTAAATGGATATGAGTCACAGTGTAATGGTTAAAGTTGATGTAATATAAAAATAGTAAAATAATTGCAAATGGTCGGTAGTTAAAAATATGTGAATTGAATAGTGAATTTTGTTGGAAAATGTGCCATAATGATTGATTTATATTTTTTAATTGTATTGATAAGAAAGTGGTAATATAAGTAGGATAAGTAGGAATAACTGAAGAGTAAATTTTTAAGTAAATAAATAAAATTATATCCAATGACAGTTTTTGTGAGGAAAAAAAAATTATTCAGCGAAACAAGACCGAAAATGACTTCTATCCAATCATGCCGTGAATCCTAAAGTGGTTATAATTCAGAGAAATGCGTTTCCCTACTTTCTGGAAACTATAAGCTACTAATAAGATTCTTCAATTCACTCGTGTTCTTACCAACATTATCTACCGGAAATGACTTCTATCCAATCATGCCGTGAATCCTAAAGTGGTTATAATTCAGAGAAATGTGTTTCCCTACTTTCTGGAAACTATAAGCTACTAATAAGATTCTTCAATTCACTCGTGTTCTTACTAACATTATCTACACACAATTAAGTTGATATATATATAAGACAAAGGAAAAGGTCTCCTAGAGTTCTAACTCCGCCATAAGTCCTTGGTCTTCACCTTAACCTTTAAGCTAATCAATTAACAATTCGTATTTGGTTCATTCCGAATCATGTAGCATAAAAAGCATGTCGAAGAAATGTGACTCGTCAAAAGGTAATGACCCACTACAAGAATGTGATATTTACCAAATGTTTCACGGTATGTGCGTTTAATTCTCGATATAGTCTGCTTGTTTTGACAGCTGCAGTAGCCAGAGTCTTCATGTCAGCAGCCCTCGCTCTTTGAGTATTTAATGCTGCCTGCTCATTCTCGAATTTTGTTAACTTAATGAAGGCCAATCCCAATTCTCCCATTACCTCACCCACATCTTGCTGTGCTTTAACCAGTGATTCTGCCTACCAGTTCAGGAAACAAGTATAAAGAAATGCAAATGGAATAAAGCATTGGAATCAAGAGCAAGTTAGACAGACACAAAATGGGAAGAGCGGTTATCACACCAACGAAAAAATACTAATAATGGCAATTAACAAAAAAAGTTAACATATATAGTACTGTAAACATTTTTTTTGGAGTTTGGAAACCTGTTTAGATGCATTAGTAAGATGCTGCTCAAGTTCCCACAACTTCTCCTTCTTCTCCAGGAACTCCTTATCCTCCTCCTCTACAGGAGGCCTTGAACTACCCCAGTCATTGACAACAGACTGCTTCAGTTCCTTAAAGAACCTCAGCATGTCCCTCCCGCCTTTGGCCGAGTGCACCACATCCTGAGGCTCAATCACACTCCGCGACTCCCCCAGAAGCTGCTTCGGCAGCCTCACGGCCCCATCAAGCATCCTCGACGCCACATCAATGCTCGTGGGCAGCGGCATTCTCCCCTGAACAGTCAGAAACACCCTTAGCTCGTCACTTTTCCTGATCATGGGATGCCTCGCGAGCCTCCTCAGGTACTTCTCCAGCTCCACTCTCCTCTGCTCCACAAAGTCCTGCTTCTGCATGACCTGGCTCTCGACCACACTCTTGTCGGGACGAGGAGGGATGAAAAAACCCCTGTAGCCTTCACTCAGCCGATCCGACAGAGTAACAACATCCTTGAATCTCCGCCGTACGCTGAAATCGGATCCCCCATAATCTGGAAGATCCGTACTCGTAGTGATCAGATAAGTGATGTAGGTGTTGCCGCCGGGGACAATAGAGTTGGACGACTCCGCCTCCTTCTGGGGATTCGAAACCGTGATCTTCAATTGATCGGGGCCGGACAGCGAGGATCCCCTGGGCGAGACGGTAACTACATCGGAGACGGCGATCCCGTTGCCATTGGATTCGGGGACCCCGTCGTGGAACGGGCTGTGGATGACGTCAGCGTAGGAAGGGGAATCGAGGGACGGGCTGCGAGCGGGGAAGAGGAGGGGATCGGAGGCGACGGGAGTGGCGGCGATGGACGGAGGCGGAAGAAGTGGGTTATCGGCGGTGGCGAAGGAGGAGGAGGTGGAAATGGTGGTCATGGCGCTGCGGTAGTTGGAGTAGGACTTGGAGACCGAGACGTCGTCGCTGCCGTCGTTGACGCCGCTGAGGGTTAGGGTTTGCATCTGATCTGCGGCGGAGAGTGGGTGGTGGAATTGAACTTCTTTCGCCTGATCCCCTTGGCCGGGTTGACCGGTGCTGTCTGACCCCATCATCTTCGTCGGTATTTTGGCTTTGGATTAGCAGACGAAGCTTTTTGATATTTGATTTATACACGGAATAATGCCATTGAACCTTTTTCTTCACTCATCAGCACTCTGCTATATCCACAACTCTGAATCTTTCTTTTTTCTATTTGTGTGGTTTTTAATTTACTATGTCCTTTTTGCATAATGGACCTTTGAAGAGACAATTACACAAATAAATAAATAAATAAAAATAAATAAAAATAACATGAAAGTTAACACACGAAACTCGGCTACTTAGATCGAAATTCCTAAACAACAATAAGAGAACAAGCAAACAAACAAAGAAAATAGTAAGAAAAATAGGACAAATAACTCCGACATACTAAGACCTTTGTCCGTTTTGAACAAAAATAAAATTACGTTTGAATAAAAGAAACCAACACGTAGGACAGTTTCAAACAAAAAAAGTTTGAAAGTTTTCAACTTAATCGAGATGAATTCCTACAACACAAGTACATACGCATCAACTACTAACTTAGATGGTAATATATGAAGGCCTCATTTGATTTTTATCGTGTACATTAGATAGATACGCTCTCGTTTGACAAAGTTCAAGGTTGATCATAATCTCGCATATCATCTAATTGCTACTAAAAAAATAATAGAAATTCTTGAACTCTGAAATGTGAATAAATATTCACATGATTTATTAGGTTGTAATGTAGGCTACTTAGACCGGACAGAATAAATATAAGCTAAGTGGCTAAAATGTGAATAATAGAGAGAAATAAAAAGATGTGGGACCCTCTATCTTGGTTTGTGTGCCAATAATTGAAAGTGAAAGCCTGTACATGTGATGACTTGTATCTGTATGCATGTGAATGTTTTGTTAATTGTAAGTGAAAGTTGCTAACATGTGAAAGCAGATGTACGCATGTGAAATTATCACAATTTGATCAACAATTGTACCTATATATAGGCTTCAGTCTGAAGAAGGAAGTACCAAAAAAAAAAACAGAAGAGAAAAAGAGAGGAAATAAAAAGAAAGAGAAAGGAAGAAAGATAGATTTATGTCCAAATATCGGATATAAAAATATCAAAAGAGAAGAAACGAGTGATATTTTTATTTATTTTAAGATATTTCTTTTACTTTTAAGTGCTCAATTCTCGACTCCGTTCCCGTTCGCCGGAGCTCGTAAATCTGGTGTGCTACAGATTTAGAGACGTTTGTCGTTGTATCTTTGGGGAAGTTACGCCTTAACCGTTAGCAGCCACACGGGGCGTATTCTTCTTGCGGAAAGAGTTTTACTCGCCTCGGCTAAAATCTTTCTGTTTTTCAGTTGTAATTTATTTTTCAGTTCAATTGTAATTTTCTATTTTAGATTATTTGTAAGAACTGAAAATACATATCAGTTCGTAGGATTCCCGTGTAATTTTGACACCAAATATCCAACAATCGCAAGAAGAATTCCAGTCATCCTACTGAACTGATGGCATCCACCGGAGCAGGTTCCAGCTCTCAGCATCCGATCAATCATGTACCTGCTGTCCATGTTCCTACAGCTGAAAAGCCCGAAAAATTCAACGGACTTGATTTTAAGAGGTGGCAACAAAAGATGCATTTTTACCAGACCACTTTGGGTTTGGTAAAATACCTGAAGGACGACCCTCCGGTCATTTCTGAGAATGAGACCAATGCAGAAATACGCGCTGCGTACGATGCTTGGGGGCAAGGTGACTATCTTTGCCGTAACTATGTCCTGAACGGGCTTAGTAACGAGTTGTACAATGTGTACAGCTCTGTTGGTTCTGCCAAGGAGCTTTGGGCTGCCCTGGAGAAGAAGTACAAGACCGAGGATGCCGGGGCGAAGAAATTCGTCGTCGGTAAATTTCTTAATTTCAAGATGGTTGACACGAAGACTGTCGTGTCACAAGTGCAAGAGTTCCAACTGATCTTGCACGATATCCATTCTGAAGGGATGACTCTGAGCGAATCATTCCAAGTAGCGGCTGTGATCGAGAAGCTGCCGCCAGGTTGGAAGGACTTCAAGAACTATCTCAAGCACAAAAGAAAGGAGATGAGTCTTGAAGATCTGGTAGTTCGTCTTCGTATCGAGGAGGACAACCAGAAGTCATCAGGAAAAGTCCCGATGATGGAAGCTCGTGCCAACTTGCTGGAGCAAGGCAACTCGAGCAAGAGAAAGACCCAGAACAAGGGAAAGCAGCCAGCCAAGGTTTGGAAGTTTACTGGAACTTGTTACAATTGTGGAAAACCAAATCATATGGCTAAAGACTGCAAGAGGCCAAAGAAAGCTGCACAAAAGAAAGGGCAAACGAGTGCCTTTGTTGCTGAACACGGCCCTGTGCCGGGTGAATTGACCGACTTTGATATGTCGGCAGTGGTGTTTGAAGCCAATTTGGTGGATAACCCGAGGGAGTGGTACATCGATACTGGTGCCACTCGTCATGTGTGTTCCGACAAGGAGGTGTTCTCTTAATACACTCCTGCTATGGGTCGGAAACTACACATGGGAAACTCCTCCACGTCTGATGTGGCTGGAGTGGGCACGGTAGTGCTGAAGCTCACTTCTGGAAGGGAGTTGAAGC